CTCCTGACCTCGTGATCCACCCGCCTCGGCCTCCCAAAGTGCTGGGATTACAGGCTTGAGCCACCGCGCCCGGCCCTATTTCCTCTTTTTAGCCACACAGTTAATTATACGACACATCAGACCCCCTGGCATCTGGGTAGGGCCACATGGCTAGTTCTTGCCCATGGGATGGGAATGTGCCTTCTCCCTGCTGTCTGACTTTTACCCATCAAAGCAGCCTTGTAGACTGTGTTTGAAGAGGGTGGTGTCACATGATGGGAAGAGCCTGGGTTCCTGAATGACTGTGTGGAGCAGGGGGTTCTCCGCTGACTATATTGGATTGTAATGTTTTGCTACTGATACTTGGGAATTGTTTGTTATAGCAGTTAGCCTAACTCCAACTAATACCTGTGTATTACTAATTCAGTTATTCGATTAGTAATTACTAATACCTGTGTACCTCGATTCAAAAAAGAAGAGGGCTCTTCCCTTACCCAGTTGGGTAAGGGAAGCCAGCCAACAGGCTCTTACAGTCTTCCAGACAAGAGGGAGCCATAGAGGTAGAAGTTTCGGAGGTCCTTTTTAGTTTTCATGTTCTGGGGTTTCTCCATTTCCATCTTAATCTCTCAGTGCCCAAGTATATCAACCCCTGTGGCCACCCCAAACAGTTACTTGCCATTCCCTGGCAGAATGCTCGATTCTCCTTTCTCATGCTTGTTGATCCTTTTCCTGGAACACCTGCCCCTCTTCATCACCTTTCAGACTTGACTCCCTTTCAAGTTGCAGCTCAAACACCACCTCCGCAATCACCCCATGAGGCAGTGAGCCCTCGCTGCCGCTCCTCTCCGGGTAGCACTGCATAGCCGAGCAGATGGTCCTCATCCCCTCTTGAAGCACCCGTGATATTTTCATAAGGAGGTCTGACTCCTCTGTTAACTTATGAGATTCTTAGCAATAACGACATGATCCTCACACTTCCTTGTTTCCTATGTAGGCCTTAACACTGTGTTGTTTGTACTGGGCACTCAAGAAGGAAGAGAGGGAGTCAGGGAGGAAGGGAGGGAGTCAGGGAGGGAGGGAGGGAGTCAGGGAGGGAGGGAGGGAGGATTGATTAATGAAATCACAAACAAATGAATGAGCTACTTAGTCAGATTTTCAAGGGTTTAGCACTGTGTTATATGTACCAGACACTCAGTAAATACTTGGTGAGAAGGAAGGAGGGAGGGAGGGAGGGAAGGAAGGAAGGAAAGAAGGAAAGAAGGACAGAGTAATGACATCACAAACAAACGATCTACTTGACTAGATTTTCAAGTGTTTCTACCATCTGGGCTCATTCCATTTCTCTTCTACTACTTCCAACCACAAAACCCCCATTCCAAATGGGTTGTTCTTTCCACAGACTCATGGGCATGCTGGACTCTTCCTTTCCCCCACTCTCCACCCGCCGTCCCCTCACCCATCCCCCAGCCCTTCTCCACTCCTCTCACCCTTCAGGGTTCAGATGGAGCTCCACCTCCTTCAACATGGTTAGTGATGCTCCTGCTCTGAGCGAACATCTTCAACTGTAAATGATAGGGTTGATCGTCTGCCCCACACAGGTGATTCTCTGTCTCACTGGGTCCTGTCTTGCATGGTTTGTGTCAGTTCATGTGTGTTATTCTTGCCTCCCTAACTAGAATACAAGCTCCTCAAGAGCTGCATCTTCCCCAGCGTGAGCCAGGAGATGAGCAAGGAATAGCTGCTCAGTGTACTCTTGCTGACTGCCAGATTATTTAGAGCTTCCTCACTCTTTTTGCCATTTCAAGTAAACACAGATTGGAGACCAAAAACATACACACCCCATCATCTCTTCTTTCCATGCCTTTCTCTTCTCCTGCTTTGCAGATTGGAGCAACTGGGTGGGCTCATTCAGTCTCTAAATTCATTGAATTTCTGAATCTGCAGAGTCACATGCAAATTTTCAGATCACAGCAACCCCTCGGAGTCTGTTAGTCCAGTAAGAATGCACTAAAACCAGTAGACAACTTTGTTCTCCCCACTTTTTTTTTAAACAACAAATTACTTTTTTTAGGGACGTATTTAGGAGGAGATGGGAACATGGGCTGGGCCTCAAATGATTTGAAGGAGGAAGAAGACCTCATATATGAGGAATGCCATGGGGTAAAGGAATAGCTGAGAGAGGGGGCATCACCTGGGCAGGAATTGGGGCCCCGGCCACAGGGAATAGTTGTGACACAGCTAATGACCTGGGTGGGCCAGCCCCCAAAGACTTGGGTTCCAGCCGATCATCTCTGTGCCATCCTCAGGCAAGTCCCCTCACACCCAGAGCTGAGAACAGGTGGAGAAATGAGAAACGAAGCAGGGGGCTTTGGACTTGGTTGATGTGGTTCCGGATTCTCAAGCAAGGAACTGGCCTGGAAAAGGCAGTATTTAGGGCTCTGTTTTGTCATTAGCAAATATTTAGTTTTAGGCTGACTCCCTTTTGTTACCCAACATGCTCTGACTCAACTCTCCCACCTTGGGCACACAGCATGCAAATAAATCACATCATTGCCTTGGCCAAACATAATTTGGGAAGTTAACCTGCTTAGAAACCGGTAGAGTATGTCCTAAAATTAAACAAAAGTTTTTTTTTTTTTTTAATTATCCAGTCCATTCTTTCTTTTTATTAGTGTGGATTTTGGAGTGTGAATAGTAATTATCCATGAGAATAAAAAATTACTTAATTGTGCATTGTATGAGATTCAAATAAAAGGACCAGTTACTTCTCAGGTCTGGTGCCTGCCTTGCAGATACATGCAAATATTTTATTAGCCACCATTTCCACCCGAGTTCCCTGAAGGATTGTAGGAAATCAGTGAACTGTTCTTGTGGTATACGCTAGTCGCTCATAAATTGGAACTATCATACAGTGTGATCAGAATAAACAAATGGAAAGGGTAATAAGGCACACCAATAATCACTGGTGACCTCAGCAATTTTATTAACAAATGTATTTCCCTAATTGGGTAACATATCTCAGTGCTTGACTCAAGGGCATTGTAATAGGTTTCCGTACTGCAGAAGAAGGAATTAATTAGAACTGTTTGTTCTTATTCCATATTTACACTTGTCCACCAGTCTTGTAAACATTGCCCCTGGTTTCCTCAGTCCTCCAGGTTCTTCTGATTCCCCAACACACCCCCAAAATAAATAAATAGAAAGCAGAGAGTAGAGCTGGGCATCAGTGGTCCCTTCTTATGTGCGTTCACCCCCACTGCAAGCCGCGTCTCATGGTCAAAATGTGGCAGAATGGGGAACTCCAAAGTCTGCTAAGAGATTCCTCATTTTAAGAGATTTTGGGGGAAAAAAAAAAAGGAAAAAAAGTCTGTAAAGGGACCCTCCTTTCCACAGGCAAAAATGGAGAATCTGGGGCCTTGCTTTGCCAGAGCTCATGCCTGGGCTTGGCTCTGTCCACTTGGAAGCTGGGTGCAGAGCAGGTAAGATGGGCAGATCTGTTCTGCTTCATCCTGTCTCACCTAAAACTCTGCTTAGGAAGGTAAGAGGCATTCATGAGCTCTGCCTGCCCTTGGAGCAGGCAGCCCGTACAAAGAGAAAAACCATGAACTCATGAACTCACTCTTCAAGGCTGCTTCAAGTCAAGTTTTCTGCCTCACAGCTGGCGCGGACTGCAGCATGGCAACGAGTAAACATTTTTAGATGCACATATTCCAGAATGTCACAGCAATGGTGGCCTCTAACTTGGGCTGCCCCCTCCAGTGTACTCCAGAAGGTGCCACTTTTTCCTGGCTATCTGTTCTCCAATGAGCAGCATTAGAGCATGATGCCAGGGGATGTGGAATCACCTCCAGAGCTGATTTGTTCAGCAGCTGTTAACATAGTCTGCTGTATATAGAGATGGTTTTTGACGGTAGATAGGACTATTATGAAGATATCTAAGGGGTGTCTGGACTACCCTAGCAACCAACAGGTCCCTTTTTGAGATCTATAGCCCAGAAAAATCCAGAGAAGCCCAGGAAGTTTCATTCTCCCTCTTGGATATCCTGCAGGATCCTAATGAGGTTTTCCAGGCCAAAAATATAGCCAGGGTCTGGTCCATCGTAGGTGGTGTGCTCATTCCAGGAGCCCTTGTACGTGGTATGAGCAAAGTCAATCATGCGGACGTCAACCTTGGTGAGACCACTGGGAGAGCTGCCATGGGCTGCCTGGGGAGCTTCCTGAGGATGTGGGCTGCCTGGGGCTCTTTCTGGCGGTTCCTGCCCATCATAGATGATGAGGAGAGAGCTGGAGTAGAAGCGGTATGAACTCTGGCTCCTAATGACCGAGAGGAGGGCCCGGAGCTGCTGCAGGATGGGCTCCAGGAGCTCCCTCCGCAGGTGGCTTCCATTATGTAGGAACTGATAGAGGGCTTGTCTGAACCCCTCCACTGAGAGTTTTCTTCCGTAGTACTTGTCTTTGCAGAGAAAGTACTTCTTGTCTGTTTGATAAACCTTATATTAAAAAGAAGAAAGAAAATGTGAAGATTGGAAATTTAAACAAATCGCATCTGGTATGGTTGCAGCATCACAAGCTAGGATAACATATGAACAGATTTTTAGGAGATGTAGGGCAAGAGTGACTGAAATGAGCAGAAGATGATCTTCCGTCAAGTGCCAGGGTAGCTTTTACATTTTAAAATGCTTTCTGTGCAAGTCTTTAGTAGTAATCCAAGGTCTAAAGATCCTTCACCCTACAGAGGTGACCCTCCACCCACGAGGAAAACGTTTGGATCTTCTTTCTTGTGAATTTCCAATGTCAACCTCCAAATCGTGATTTAAGCCTTGGCTTCTGGCCCTCTTCAATTCAAATATTAGCAAACCCAAGCTAGAAAGCTTTAATAGGAATCTGAAATCACAGCCAATGGCCTTGGAAAGCCAACTAGATTAAAATTTCCCCAACAAAGTTTATAAAGTCCTTTCTCCGCAGATTCCAAGGCAACAATAATGCCTCTTGAGGTAGAGTGGGGTGAATTGTTTGAAGATAAAAAGATAGGCAGGTCAGGTGTGGACAGAGTTTCCAGGCAGCCAGTGCAGTTGAGGGGAGCCTGGTAGAGGAGGGAGGTTCATGGCAGCTCTATGGGGCTGGTGGCTCCTCTCCTTGGCACCATCTCTCCTCCCCTCCCCTATTGTGTCTTGGCCACCAGAAGGGAGCAGATGGAAGAGAGATGCTGATGGGGGACAGTGGCAGCCACCCCCGTTTCATTCAGATGGCACAGGCAGCAGCCGAGGTTGAACCAAGGCCAGCAGTGGGCATGGTTAGAGGGGGGTGGTGGCACCCCTCTGCCTGGCACACCTAGAAGGGGCAGCCTGTGCCTGGCCAAGACAGTTTCTCACGTCATTCCTGCCCTCAGATTACATGATATGTTTATAGAAAACCAGTGTTGTTGAAAAAAATCAGAAAGATATGATAGACTTGGTGTTGCCTTTGGAGGGCTGCAGATTGACTGCTAAATTAGCCGTCATAAATACATGACAGGCATCACTTTCTAAATAAATCAGATCAATTTCAGAAGATTTGAGGTCCAGAGAGAGATTCCATTTACACCACAAATCATCACACTCCATTCTCTTGAGGACTGCATTCCCGGCTTTCCAAAGGACATCTGTGCAACAAATTTATAGACTCAACTTCCAGCTTCAAGGGGTGGCAGTTTCAATTAAGGAAAGCTATAACGTTTACCGTCAAATCGGTGTCTGGTTTTGCTTTGAGTAGACAGACTATAAGAGGGAACGAGTAGAGGAAGTTTATTTTCTCCTGTTCTCCCGCAGGCCCTGCCATAAGCCACATCAGAGCCCAAAAAAGGAGGCGTGGAGTCTGAGTTACAGAAAATAACCATTCCTTTGCAGGGTTAGCAGGTTATGACCTTCCCACTTTATTAACCAGAACTGGTAACAAAAAGCAGCAGAAAAGGTGGATTAAGAAGGGGAAATGGCTAATAGAAATTCAAAGAGCTGATTGCCATACAGCATCTAAGAAGGAGAGAATTCAGCTTTATCATTCAAGAGAAGGAGGACTCAGGAAGCCACGGGTTGCATCAAGAAGCCCTTTCTCTTAGTTCTTCCCCCAGCCCAGCCTCACACACTGCCATCAAAGGTCCGCTTGCACCATGAGCAGGAGCCACATGGCCACTGTGGAAAGTTTCAGCTGCCAAAGATTGTGAGACCAAGTTCAAATGTGATGGTTTTTGACATCACTATTCTGAAGGCTACTCTTGAAAAGATCCAGTGTGGGCTGAAGTGGTGGCTCATGCCTGTAATCCCAGCACTTTGGGAGGCAGAGGCGGGCGGATCACAAGGTCAGGAGATCGAGACCATCCTGGCTAACATGGTGAAACCCCATCTCTACTAAAATTACAAAAATTGCGGCGACGGACTGTGGCGGACCTGTGGTTTCCAGCTC